TTTGGTGGCCTTTGCAATTTCCATTGAAAATAGAAATCTTAAACTGTTGTATTGTTATGCTGGTGTCCTTTACGGTTTTGCTGTTTCCCTAAAAAAAAAAAAAAATAAATAAATAAATAAAGATTCAGGGTTATGTTTGTGTTTGAAAGGTAAATTTGAACAGCAGTTATGTTGTGTCATTCTGCTGAATCCAAAGTCTTGAACTATATAAATAGTTGGATAGGTGCTTTTATTAAATATTCTCAAAAAGAGTCAATTTGCAGCACAGAAAGGGCCACAAGGTGAAACCTCTGACATCTGGAATTAAAATGGACTTTTTACGTCTACAGAAGTTAAAAGAGAAACACATTAAATCACTCAAACTGCAATAATCGAAAAGGAACAATGGATAAACTAAAACTATCACGAGCACCGACGCCACACTCTTTTCTTTTTTTACCTTTCTAGTTTTTATCTTTACTCTTCACTGCTTTCCCTAAATTATTAAAGATACACACAATCCAATTACAATACAAAACAGGAATGAACAAAACAATAAGCACGACATTGAACATAAAAGATGAATAAGCAGACGAGTAAAAAGACAGAAAATGAGGCAGAAAGAGAAAAAAAAAATATTCTACACGGATCATGCAAGGAAAGCATGCATACCTGTGTGTCAAAGCCCAGCGATAATCTGCAATTCTGTCTCATCAGCACAATATCAAACAGCCTCAGACGCAGCGTTTAATTATACATCACTGTATTTCTCTGTGTCTTGTTCAAATCCACGTGCAGATATGCAGACTTCATGGTATGTGCAGGCAGATGAATTAGTCATGACCCGAGTATCTTCAGAGGGACAGGAAGAAAGACTCAAGGTGTCCGATGAGCACATCAAAGCCTCTCCTGAGTGGACAGACTGTAGAGGATAATGCTAACCTTCTGTACCATTGCTCCGCCGAACACAGGCTTCCGTTACAGTGGCCACTTGATTTGTTCCTTCCTGTTTTATTTTTTTATTTTTTTTCTGTGTGCAATGGTGAATTCTTCAGTCACAACCTATTTTTTTTTTCTGTCCTACATACAGAGCTGGCGTATTGCTCCCATCCGTTCACCTGTTTCTCCACTTATGTTGGAGCTTTAAGGAGGAAAACGAGGAAATCCAGAACCTCTCCCTCCGACCGACATCCTCCAGCCCTTCCTGCGCTCATGATTGAAGTGTCCAGAGGTATTCCATGGCCAAGTGTGATCTAAAAGGCCCGAGGCATCACATCAAGCCAGGAGAAGACCCTGGAGCAGAGTGCACTCTCGGCTGGAGATGTGGCCGGAACAGACGCACAGCGAAGAGCGCAGAAGGGATTGAGGAGCAGATGCTCACATTCCTTTGCCTTTTTCAAAGTTCATTTTGGCAGATCTGCCTTACCCGAATGGCATGCTCTCTTGTTCTTCCCATTTGTGCATTTTTTTTAAATTTTTTTTTTTAATTTACCAACACAATCTATCTTGGTGCTGTTAACTACTTATCTCACCAGCACACATCCTTATTCTCATAGATTGTTGCCAGGCTTTGTTACAATACAAAAAAAATATTGATGGCTGAAGCCAATCTGGTTCATTTCAAAGTAAAACTCTATGTTTGGTTTTAAATGGGGTACACACACGCACACACACGCACACACACACACAAAAAAAACAAAGCAAAAACAGCACTACCTTTATTTTGTATTGCCTGTATCTTTTTGTATTGACTTTTTTTTTTTAACCTTTAAACCAAGGACTGGCAATGTATGCTTTATCCATTCAGATTTAAAGCCAGCGTTTAACATGTTTTACACTGCACCGAGATGACTGGCTTGGAGACTCTCATAACACCAGTGTAAGTAATGTTTCATTTTTTACAAATGGCAATTGTGCTGTTCGTCTCTCTCACAGTGTCTGTCACTGTGCTGCGGCACACTGAGTCGAAGTCAAAAGGCTGCATGTACCAACAGCAGGGGCTCCTTAGATAAGTCCCCTGGATCCTCTCACTGACAGCTAACTCCCTCTGTGTCACATCTACACACAGACATAGATACACAGAAATTGCACAGAGCAATCATGTGCCAAGTGTCTTGGTGGAAATCTGTGCCAGTCAGTAAATCTAGGACAACTGCTTCAACTTGTAATATCCAGACACCCATGAAGATATGAACTCAGATGAAGCATTTGTGTAGATTCAAACACAGGCGCTCGGCAATCAGCGGCGGCGTGATTACGCAGTGCAACAGACCCAGAGCAATTCAATGATTACCCATCAGTTCTCCACCTCTCCCTCAAAGACGGGCAACAGTGACCCACGATTGGAGGCAGAAAGACTCTCACGGAGTTTGGTAGCATCATGGTGAAAAATAGCTCTTATGACAAATGTGTGGGAATGATGTGCTATACGTAGAAATATTTTAAACTTTCCGAGAAACAAATGATTAGCAGTAGTAACGTTGATTTAGAATGAAGTTAACGCTTGACTTAAGGTGGCTTTGAAGATGTAACTTTGGGTTTGATGTCTTTTCAAAGCTGTTTGTTAAAATAACGGTTAGGAAATGCATTGACGTGTTTCTGTGGCCATGAGATGCCAGCAGAATATCACAAATGCCCGTTTAGTGTTGTAGATTAAATCTGAAATTTCAAAGCAGCCCTATTTCACATGAACAGAACGTGAGATTCATTCAAGCCCTGTTGTATTTTAGTCACAAAACATAGGCTGCTGCAAATGTCAAAATACTAATTGGTTTTACCTATACAACACAGCGAGAAGAAAAGCAAAGCACTCATCGTCCTTTATTTTAGGTTTTATGCATTAAGACACAGTAAAAGACTGCCTTGTTCTTATTGAATATCAAGATTAGAAAGCAAAGATGTTTCATTCAGTTAATATTTTAGTTGTATTGCAATTTGAATGCAGGCTTAGAGATTCACAATTTCACTTTGTAAAAACTTTCCGATAATCTTTATAGTAAAGCTCGTTTAGAACATGCATGTGTTGCAGTTTATTGCAAAAGCTTTGTTCATTATTTTTACCTTTCCGTGTTTTCTTAAACTCTATGCTGTATCACAGGTCAAAATAATAGTTTAATGATCCCAGAGTAAAATTTTATTTTTCTTTCTTTCACAGTCCACATGTTTGGGGTAGCATTAAAATATGATGATTCTAAGGCCATTTTCCTATCCTACTGTACAGTTCTATTCAATTAAAACATGGGTTACAACGAGGTTTGTTTGTTAGATTAAAAGTATATTTTAAAAAAACAACAACATTTAGGCAGGTATTTAATTTATTTTTTGTAAAACGCAACATGTCTATTAAAAATGTCTTAATATTCTTACCTTAGATGTGTTTTAATTAGTTGAAAATTATAATTATTAAATGAAATAAAGTCACAGAGGCAAGAGTATGTGTATAATTTATCCAGATAATTAGTTTCACTTAGTGAGTTAAGTTAAAGAAACACATTTTTAATTATATTTAAATCTGTGGAATGGGTCTGTATTTAAGAAACTTTTGAGAACTGAGCTGGAAAATGGAAAAAAAAAAAGCAAATTCTTGACTTTTTAATATCTGTAATGAATTATGCTGGATTTCAGTTGGTGGATGGTTGTTTTATGTATATGATTAGTTTCCTTCTCTATATTTTGTAGTTGTTTAAAATGCATATTGATATTCCGCTAACATTTCTGAAGACGCCTGAGCTTTGCCGTTTCACTTTTTGCTTTATGTCTCCAGCTTGAGCAGGACTCCCTGGGAGATTAGGTCCAAGGTGAGCTAGCAAAAGGCTTTAGAATTGCTTACATTGACTGCGTGTACTAAAGTAACTTTTGTAACGTAGAGCACCAATCATACAATAACCATTTGTGATGAGACTGTGTGATAAAAAGCCATCATCTTTACTGTCTGTGTTAGCTTGGGAACGGACAGTGCAGAAGAAATATAAATGCCCTGCGGTTTTAAATTGCCTGCGGGGCCACAAACGTAGCTGCACTCTTTGAATTGACACAGCTGCTGGCGTGACAACAGCTTATCATGAATACGTGTAAACACTGTAATTGCGTCATTTCTTTCACATTCGCACACAGTTATATTTTTGTCTTTTGGTAAAACGATTTCATGCTTCCCCACCCACCTCCCATTTCATTCACTCGAACTAATTGCCCCAATGAGGACATCAAAGATGGTCTAATCTACAACTCGGATCTAAAACTGCTGGCTCAAGGTCTAATTTTAACCGTCATTTTAAGCAATCATCTGTTTTCTTTCATCTGTGAATAGTTCACTATGATGTTTACATAAACCCTTCAAAGGAAAACAGTGAGATATTAAAGATCTCCTGAGATTGGCACACGTCGCTTTTTCCCCATGACTAACAGCCATGGAGAAAATGACGACCTTCATGAAATGTTTTAATTATTCTATCACTTAAACTCGGTAAGCTTTTTTGTTGTTGTTGTTGTTGTTATCACTGATGTAAAACAATTTTAGTCATGATGCTGATTTTAAATCACTACGGCATCAGATGCTGATCTGCTCTAACCCTGTTGCTCGATTCAGAAAGTCCGAGTGCCTCCAGCTGCTGAAAAAGGATGCACTTGAATCATGTCTTGTGCTGAGTGGACAGTAGTTAAAAAAAAAAAAAAGTGGATTGAGTTCAAGACCTGGCACTTCTCCTTCTCCTTGAGCAACTTAACAGTTCACTTTTTCATCTCAAGTTCATCTTCCCTGACAGACCCGAACGGAATAGAAACCGAGTTCCCGAGACAGCATCAAAACCAAAACATGAAATCTGACCTTCTTCTTTAAAACAGTTAAGTGAGGGATTTCACATACCGAGGCTGAGTAAAACATGCAGCTTCAGCCATTATCCATTTCAGAATATATGGAGCTTTATTTTCCAAATCTACATCTTTTTTGTTCTCACCCCAAAAATACTCAAAATGATCGTTATCTAGGCATAATTTAGGGATATCTGAAGGTTTTTTTTTTTTTTTTTTAAAAACAGCTCAGTTTGCAAACAAGAAATACAAACATTTATACAAAAACAGACACGTTCTGACCTTCATAGTTGAGTTTGAAGCCATGAGCAGAAACGGCAAAGTCGCTGGTCAACCTCAAGGAGAAAACATTCCCTGTGCTGGTGACAGGGGGAGGAGCCTGGAAGCCTGTTAACCTGAAAGAAGAAAACAGAGCGATGTGATTAAAATTATGCATTACCAAAAAAAAAAAAAAAAAATTAGACTAAATAAAGCATAAAATAAAACAAGAAACTGGGTGTCTTGTATCTTCCTGAAAGGTTTACATAATATTTTCTATAGCTCACTAAAGAATGTTCATTCCAACAAAACTTGACTAGTTCAGCTACTCAGTTCAAAATCTCCAAAGTTTTCAGATCAAAGTAACATTTCCAATTCATTTGGTGCCCAACATCCCAGAGTCTGGGAAAAGAGACGCAGAGAATCCAAGCTACGCGAAAAGTCCATCAGCTTTTCCTTCTGCCTACAAGTTTGATGGAGATTTGGACTTTGTTTTCCAGCACGTCTTGGCATGTTCCCCCACATTCAAAATGACCAGTTCCTGCTTTACAGAGCATGGCAGTTTGGTGCTAGATTCACCAGGAACTTGGCCTGAGCTAAAGTGAAGCATGGATGATGTACTCTGCAGTTTTCCATCATTTTAGGATGACTGTTTTTGTTGTCAGTATAGGTTTTTTTTGTAGTGAACTTATATTCTAATTTTCTGAGATATGGGTTTTCATTAGCTGCAAGTGTGTCTCACAAAGTTTTCTCGCTTCTCTTTTTTAGTTACCGATGAAACAAATGAACACTGGAAACATCTTATTTTAAATTTTGTGCTCAGACCTTCATGGGTCGTAGCATAACATTGTTTCCTTGCCTCAAGATTATACTAAAAGGCGAAACGTCTTCATGTTAGATAGGACTTAGTCAACCTTAAGCTCTTTCAAAAAACATTGAGGAAACTATTAGGAAATCTGTTTTCAGGAACTGTTTGTTACAAAAAAAACAAAAAAAAAACACTGTGCATAATGCATTTTCAAATAAATTAATATAATGATGAATGGGTTCAGTTAGGTCTTTCAATTTGATAAAAAGCAAGTGTTCAACCAATTGATATTTTTTATACTAAAACCTCTCTGCAGATGAGTAAACAAGAAATAAGGGTGGGTTGGGGGGGAGAAGAAAAGGCCACATGAAATCACTCAGCTCAGCATCATGTCTCAGTTTATCCTCAAATAAATGCCGCATAACTGCCCAGGTGGGCCTTCAGCTAAGAGACAGCTAATTGAGGAGGAAACACGAAGGAGGAGAGGAGAGCTGGATCTTTTTTCACGTCTGGAAAAGAGCCAAGCCCTTGTGCTGCCACTACAACATTTTCTGTATTCTCCCCAAAGCTGCCACTCTTTCTTTCTTTCATTTCATTTTCTACATTTATTACATTTTCTCCCCTCCCCTTTCCGCCAGTTGAGCAAATACTGGCATTGTGTTACTTCTCTCCCTGTTGTGCTCATCATTTATTCTCCCATCAATCACATTTTTACATTTTCGTGGAAATAGTGGTACAACATGCTTCTTTAAATGTGTTTTTTTTGTGGTCTTTTTTCTGAAATTTGACACTATAGCTAAATTGTGTTTAATTCTATCAAACAAACTTTAGGCTTTCCATTATACATCTGAGTGCAATGCAAAGACTTAAGGTGGTAGGGCCAGTCATTACAATCTTAAAATATTGTTGCATAAGTTGCACTTCCAAGTGTAGCAGCTTTCTCATTTCCAAACATTTGACTGGAACAATAATCACTGTCAAGTTTGCATGTTTATAAAAACACATGGAATCGTATCCATCTTCCATACAAAGCATGAAGTAAAAAAAAAGTACTGAATTTCTTCATTACAAGTAGGATCATAATCTTCACTCCAATTTATGTATTTGTTTATTAAATTCAGTATTCATTTTTGATCTTCTATCATGCCTAAAATGCTACGTGCCATGTTTTCAGGAGGCAAAATAACCAGTTGCAATGCATAAGGACATAATACCACCATGGGAGTTTATATGAAGGAATCAACAACAACCGAAGCAGATTTTTTTATTTCTTATCACAATAAAAGGTTTTACCTCAAGTGGAAAATTTACTCTCTACATTGTGATACATTTTAATATCAAAGTATTACTGAAATGTATCCTGCATCGTAGTTCTTTTTGTTCACACGCGTATCTATACAATACGCACACAAATAAATGCAAAAGTACACGCAGAGACCTGACCGGTGTTTCGAACTGATCATTGTTCCATGTTTAGTTTCACGATTGACCGATTTTTACCAATGTTTCCACTTTTAACCTCATTCAACTGTGGAGCCACATATCTTCACCTGGAAGGCAGAAGACTGAATTCATGATCCATTGTGTTAGGCAGATTTGTAAAGTTTGTCAAATAGGCAAAATTGTGCTGGCAGAAGCTAAGGAAATTTTCTTGATGCATGCCAATAATGTGATACTCTGAAACAGATTAGGTTCTTCTCTGTGACCAAAGGATTTGTCATCTTCCAAGACTTTTTAAGAAATGAGAAGTGGTGGTGGCTCTTTTTTTTTTTTTAGACCATCACTGTATTTTCATTTGTGTTTCTCCGCTTCCACTTTCGTACTCGTTCTTGCAACTTGTGGTATAATAGCGACTCTATAAAGCCGTCTCTTTACCCTTCAGCAGATAGAATATCATTAAAGTAAAACTCAAATCCCCCTGCTTCCTCTCCAGAATCTAATTTCCTTTACTTTCACTCCAGCAGATGCAAAACCCTCAGTGCGCACAAACACACCACTCGTTTTATTGTGTCACAATTTAAATCTGGGTTTACGTGTTTCAAGATTTATGAAGTGAAAGCAAAATTCCCTTACAGAAATTGAAAGTGGGTTAGGAAGAGACTTGTGGGTGTTGGTGTATGTGCACACAAGAGTCTGATAGCGTGAAATCGCATCAGTATGTGAAGTAACTGGTTAATATCACTGGAGTGATTTCCTTGCTCTTCCTGTCTCATACACAACAACAAAGGAAGCTACGCGCAGGATTGTAATACAATCCAACACACAACTTCCAACGTAAAACATTAAACAAAGCAGTCCAGCGATTATGATTGATAGAGCCTGTCATTTATCATTCCTGCATCCGGTTGTTGTCATTGTTAACCTACAAAATATACTTTTCAACATTAATGCTGTCATTATGGTAGAAAAGAGAAGGCTTAAAACATTAATGGCAGCATTTGTTGCTACACCCACTAAAAAGGCAGGAAGTGTGTAGGATGGGGCATTTTTGAAACCAAAAACTCTCCTGCTACTTATTTTGATTTTTTTTCTAATTCAGTATGGGTAGTGACTGCTGACATTTGCATATTTTATGCAAACATGGTTTGAAGGATTTTTGATAAATTAAGGATTCTGGTGTGCCTCCACACCAGTCTTTTACCAACACCCTTCATCACATTACAGTTGAAACTGTATGTGATATCGTAAAGCACCATGTAGAAGGGAATAAGATAAACAGTTCTCAAAGTTCTGTTCAGCTATTATTAAAGCCATTATCTCCTACACCAGAGCTTCCCAAACTGTGGGGCGCGCCCCCTAGGGGATGGGGGGCGCAGTGCCATTGCATGGGGGGCGCGAGAAGCGTAAAACATGAACGCTGTATGCGCTGGGTTTGTACCTTAGAATGGTCAACTTTCTGTTATTCCTATGTCAGTTTGATACAGTAAGGGCTACACTTCCCATATCTGTGTCCTCTGTCACTTTTATCAGCAGTTAAAACTGTTTAATCCATTGTTAACATGTGGTAACCTGTTTTTCCAAGCCGCCATTAAACGCAACACGAGCGTTGACGCACTGGGTTTACACCAGTGCTAGCAGTGAAGGAGACCTGCTGCTGCTCCAGGTGTGTTAGAATCACGGCAGCAAACCAGCAAAACGCAAAGAACTTTTCACAGTTTCCCCCCCAAACGAACCGACTGAGTTGAGTAAAGCTATTAGATGCAGGTAATGCCAGCTAAAGGATGACTAGCTAGCTAATACCAATACATCACCTTAAGCTTAACAGGTAGCCTGTAGGCTACCAATGTTGTTGTCTATGTCCAGCTAAGAATCCTCTTCCCCCGGGGTGCTGTGGTGGCGCAGGGGCAAAGCACAACCCATGTATTGAGGCCTTGGTCCTCATGGCGGTGGTCGCAGGCTTGATTCCTGGCCTGGTGACATTTGCCGCATGTCTTCCCCCTCTCTCATAACCCTCTTTCATGTCGAACTACTTTCAGATAAAGGCCACTAGAGCCAGTCTCTGCAGTCACAGAAACAATTAACTGTGACCCCAGTAACTACACACACACAATAAAATTGAATGACTTAACTTAAATTGTGAGCTAATCATCTGAGGTGGTTTGAACGTAAATAACCTCTAGGTCTGTTTTATTTCACCTTTGAAATGTAAATCAATATGCAAAAAGATAAATATTCTCATTTTAATTTTATTTATTTTCTACGGGACCAAATAAACGCCCTTCTTTTCCAACTTTTCACCCTTCATTTCACTCCCGATGGTACTGCCAACAACTAGAAAATTGATTTAACTAGTAACATGTTCAGACTGTGTTTATCTTACAGCCTACTTTGACATGCACTATGACATTTAAAACACAGTGGAGCGTCTATATTGACTAACATTATTCCTATTGGAAACGTTCTCAACTTGACCATGAACTTAAATCAATAACAGCATCCAGATGTAAGACGCTTGTTTTCCCAGAGTACATCCTGGAAAACTCAACCACTTGTCAAAAACAGGTAGAGAGGGAAGAAAGAAAGAAACTATTTGTGTCAAATTCACAAGCACTGGATAACAGACAATACATTATTTGATAAATTTCACTTCAGATAACACTGCAGTTTTTAACCACTGTACGGTGGAGATGAAAGGAAAACGAGGACGGTAGGTGGATGTTATCTTTTACTACAACAAACATGTTAATATTTGTGTGTATTGTAGTGATGAGGAGGTTTGCTGGTAGGGCACTGAGAGGACTGAGAACAGTAATGAGGAAAAGAAACACCTCATTAAGTTTTGAGCACAGGAGAGGAAGTGTTATGATTTGGGGTCATTTTAATCCAAAG